CTTTTATTCTCAGTTTCCCAGGCAACTAGTCTCCTCTAGTCCAACCAATCAGCACGTGACTTGCTATTGGTCAAAGCATGCCACTGTACAAAAAACCCTTGTTACCACACATACTGCTGAAATAGCTAGACAGGAGAGGATCACTGTTCACACTTCTTTTGGTGTAACTGGACGCTAGTTGGAACTTTTTGATTTAGATTGTGTTGGCTCATCATAATAGTAAGTGTTTCATTGATAATTGTTTTTGTGCTTTGTTTTTGACTGTTTTTCCATGACTTTTTGAGGGGTATAGTGGAGGTACCCCTGGAAAAAGAGCCGGTGGCCACAACATTGACAGCACCATCAGCATGGGTGCCGAAAAGGCCCAAAAAAGGACCTAGTTACTACAAGGCCTGAGAGAGGAGTACAGCTCGTTCATCTCAGGCCACACACTTTTGCCTACTGTAATGGATGCAATAACAACAGGAACTATCTCCCTGTTGACAACTGACATCAAAAAGGGGAAATTCATTGCTGTCAACAGGAAGATGATTGAAGAGGCCCTCAACGTCTTGAACATTGGGGCCAAAGTGTTGATTTGCAGGTCAAATGCTATATGGGACATCCTGCTGGCAAAAGCATTAGCCAGCAACATGCTCACCACCAAGAATCTCAGGCTACAAATACAGTACATGGGTACCCAGAAGACATGGATTACTTTGCATGGGGTGCCCATGTACATCTTGGAGGACCATTTGGGGCCTTCTTCTCTGACTATGGCCCTGTTGAAGGGGTTTTCTCAATCAAAAGTAAGGTGGGAATTGCCACCAGTGACTATGAAGTGTAGTTGAGGGTCGACGTCCAAACTGCTGGGCTTGTGGTGCTACCAGTTACCTGACAAAGTTGTGTCTGGGCAGGAATTGGGCATCACAGCTGCAACCATCAAAAGAGCAGCCCAGGACGGAAGAACCATAGAGTCGTTCTGGTGAATGGACCGAGGAGGGGAGCCAAGGCAGTGACTCCACCTCCCCAGCAGGATGTCTTGGAAATGGGAGTTGCCAAGTAACAAAAACAGCAGTGGTAGAAACAGCAGCAGCAACAACAATAACCTAAGCCACAGCGACAGCCTGAGCAGCAACAACAACCGCAAAAATCGCTGGAAAAGTTGCAGTAGCAACCCAAACGGCGGCAGCTGACAGAGCAGCAACCAGTGCAGAACTCCAACAAAGACAGCAGCAGGAGACTATCCAGGCAAAAGGCAAGTTACTGCAGCTGGATCTCTTCATGGAGGTAGAGGAAGTGCCTCCACTATGATAATCCTCAATGAAAAGGGGGAGGGATGAAGAGGACTTGAAGTATACCAAAAGGGAGAGTAGGACAGAGAAGGCACTGGTAACTATTGAGACCCATTCCGTTCCTGTTTCTCTAGAGAAGCATCATACCCAAGGTAAAGCAAGGAGCCCCCCTTCCTCCCTGTATAGGGCTCTGTCTTCTCCCTCTCCCTCTCCTAACCCTACTCAAGAAAAAGATGAAAAGAAAAAAAGAAAGGTAAGCACTTCTTGGGGTAAGCACTGTCACAGTTGTGGAAGGTTGTTGAGTTTCCTCAGTGAGTTTTGGTCAGACTGGAAAGTCATTCCTCGGTTCAGCGACCTTTCTCAGCATCAGAGACTATCATCAATTAATGGAGGGGGTGACAAAGGATCCTCTGTGTAACTGGCTCGACTTGTCAGCATCAGAGTTGCACTCCTTCTGGTCTTGGGTGCCAGTGGCAGATTATCTCAGCAACTCTGAGTTTTCGCTTTGCTGATGATTGATTCAGACCATGCTACCCATCAATGACGTACTCTCCAGTTATGTCAGATTTACCATACTGTAATCAGTGTAACCTTAGAGGAAACAACTTTGCACGCCTTCTACCATTGTCCTCAGGTGCGCCCATTCCCGGATTATTTCGGCGAGATAACAGCTTGTATCACGCCCGAGCAACTGGTATCCATTGATCTCGCATATGCATGTGACAATGTGTCGCCCCTGTTCTCCGGGGTAAAACAGATGATGTTTTTCTGTTGCTAGCTGTGGCTAGAATGGTGGTGTGGACGTCACAAAAGAAGGGAATCTTGCGAGATGAACGTTATTTGTATCAGGAACTGGTTGTTTTCTTTAAACATCAGCTTAAGGTAAAAATCGCATCTGATCAAAAGCGTTTGATTTCAACAGATTTCAGCAAAAGGTGTGTGACTGAGGCAAGCCTGGTTCCTGTGGACAGGGGCTAGCCCTGATTTTCTCTTTTAAGTCTCCTTGATGCAACGGGACAGTTTCCAGAACCCTGCTCTGGTTAAGTTAGGACTATTTTGTTTTCCTTGTTAATGTGAATAAGTGTTGTTCCCAGCCTGTTTCTGGAACTCTCTTTTGTTATGATTCATGTCAAGATTCCCAATCTCCTCTGTTTTTGTCTCGGCTGGGTCAGCCTTTGTGTTTTCCCATTCCGTCATTTATTTTTAACCTCCCCATTCCATTAGTGAGTGTGCTCCTTGATTTTGTCTATTAGCAGAATACAGTGGCCACTCTGATTGTTTTGAGGAGTGGACGGTTCCTACTAATATTGTTTTGCTTTAGTTTTATCTTTGGTTTATATTTTGTGTTTGTTTTCTGGGTTCATCTCCCCTCCAGTATCATTTCATGAATCATAAAATTTTATATATATTGGACTTTATGGGGTGTTTTGTAGGTCCTCTGCGAATGTGTGGTATTTTGGTGTATGTAGGATTGAGGGGTGATGGATAAGTTCTTGTGGTGAATGAATAAAATGTATAGAATGGATGGGTCATGAGTCAGATTAATTAGGACTAGGATAGCTAAGAAAGACCAGCTCCCCTCCCCCCCGGCCATGTGCCACAATTTCTGTATTTTCAGAAATAAATATATAGCTGGACGGGAGAGTAATGCCATTTTCAAGGAGCAAAACTGCTGATACCACATATCGCATATTGAGGTAAGATCCTTATTTTCCCTTATTTTTCTTTGCACCAGATGCAAGCCACTCTGGCACACTTGCTTCTATGTCACTGTTCACCACAATATGATATCCACACAACCAACAAAAACAAAATAATATAGATTTTAAAAATTGATATAGACATAAACACTAATGCCAGTATACATGTGACATCTACACAACCAATAAGAACAAATATAGCATAGAATTTAAAAGCTGAAATATAACCAAGTCATTCCACTCTAAAAATATCTAATGAAGATAAATAAATAGTAAAACATGTCAAATTTATAAAGTTTTTCCTACTTGCTCTTTAATAATTAATTGTAAGATTTAATCCATATTTTCAACATACTATCATATTTCAAGCATTCCAAATTAGTCACAGATGACAAGACTTGACCTTGAAAATCAAGGCAGCACAATATATCTAGGAATATTCAAAAATTCTTTTCCTCACTGCAGCCTTGGTTCTTTTGATTGCTATCTGGCCCTCTGTTGGTGGCGATTTCTTTTTGCAAGGCATACTGCTGCCCTATATGATAAATAGCAATAAACTACAGAACTCAAAATTGATTACTGCATTTAAGTATTGCATTAATATCTAAGCTTACTTTTTAAAAGTTCAATGATAATTCTTCTGCCTCCACTTAATTTAAAGACAATTTGATGTGTGTAGATCCTTACTTTCTGTACTAACAATTATGTTTATTTCATGGGTAACTTTCGCTGGATTTCACAATTAATTTAAATTATTCCCAGATTTATTTCCAAGTTATAAAAATAGTTATCGTACAAACAAAATTACCACAAAAAAGTCACCAAAAACAATCGCAGTAATGAAAACTTGGGAATCCAAAATTTCTATTATGGAATCCTCCACATTTGCCTGTCACCCTCTATGGGAAGATGCACTCTTCCCCAAATAAACCTTTAACCAATCATCACTTTACTTTTCCAAACTCAATCCCCCATTGGTTAAAAGGACACTAAAATGTAGCAAAGTTGAGACAAACCTTTTTCCCCGCGCAGTTCTCTGGAGCCTATTTGGAAACTCAAAAATCTATAAAAAGGAATCGCTTGACTTAATTCAAGTCAATCAGACACTGATTTTTGAGAGATACCAGCAGACCCCACGCGTGCCAACATACTGACTCAATAACCACTACCAACCTCTCAACAACTCAACACAACTCGCACAACTATTGCCGCGTGAAGAAAGTTCACTTACAATTTACTAAAAAGTGACATTATCACTACAAAACAGTAATTGTACATTCAATCAACTTTAGCCTATCAGTTAAAGGCGAACAACTCTTCATAACTTAAATCAACGCTAGCAGTTGTCACACACATACACACTCACTTGAACTTACACAATTGACAATTTTCCTTGTAGATATCAAACTATTTTAATTCCACAAACTTAAGCTATCAACCTATACTCACTAAATTTCTGCATGGACAATCTTTTTAACCTTATCTCACTTGCCACATTTAACAAGTAACTTATTATCACTTTGTGTATGTCAAATATATATATATAAATTCGCATTATTGTTGAAATCTCTAATGACGTTGTTTTCAGTAATTTCTTGAAGTTGAATTGTCTTTATTTTTGTTTGATTTATTTGTTGTGGATAAAAATGCATTACAATCATGCACATTATTGGCCTTCACAAAAAATCACCTTCTAATACATCTTACTCAGCATAGATTCTGCAACACTAACATGAGATATTGAAAATTAGAGAGTTGTCTCCGTTTAATTGACATTGGCCTTTATTCACGTTTATTATTAAAGAAAACAAATCTCTTTAATCCTTGGCATAAAAAATTATTTTAAAATTTAAAAATCAATTTCTAAATTCTAATATCTTGTGTTCTTGATTTTTAAAACTTTTTTAAAACTATTGAATTTAAATCATATAAATTTTAACCAACGCACAAGGTGACATTAATTTGAATAATGTCCCTTTGTGAGAACTCTTCATCCAGCAAAGAAAAAAAAGTGTTAAAGGGAAACATGGCCTCCCTTCGCAGCATCGGTCGTGTGGTGTCTGCTCTAAGGATTATATCAGTTGGCTATCATGCAAGAAAAATTCATACAGGTCGACCATTGTCTGCATGTGAGTTAATTCTATCATGAATGCGATATTTATTTTCTTTATATCGTATTACGTTATGAATATAGATTGATATTTTTTTAGGACTGATTACTTGACCTTGGATGAGGAATAACTCGAGAAAGTTTAATAATGAAATTCGTTATTTTGTTTAATTTTAACTCAAAATCGTCACAATAAAATGATTACTGATTTAAATTAATTATATAAAAAAGTAAACCATTTGTGTTTAAATTCTTCTTTTGGCACTTATCTACTTTATCTGAATATTAAGTTCCTGATATTCCATAGATGTATTGTATAACTCAAACTGTATGTATACAAATCGTTTTTTTTTTTTTCTCGGGAAAATTCAGAAGTACAGTAATTCTAAAAATTCATTATTAATTTATTTATCTACTTGTATTTATATTTTATATAACAATTTTGATATTTTTTTTTTTTTTTTTTTTTTTTACATTTTTCTTTAACCACAGATTTGTTCTGATTTGTTTTTTTCAGGCTTGACATTTATGATTTACAAATACAACACACTTGTTTAATTCTAATTCGCTTCTGGGGAATAATGGAAAAATGTTTTGCTTGTATTGTAATTTTCTCTTTATTACGACCCCCCCAAACCGTTTTTTTTTTTTTTTTTTTTTTTCAACATTTATCCTTTTTAACTATTTTTTTAGATACCTACATTTAATAAATATTGTTTTCCATGATTTTTTTTTTTTTTTTTTTTTTTTCTAGTGAATCCTACAGTAAAATAGCCTTACTTTAAAAAAGAATATTAACGTTTTCGCCTCTCGTTTTAGAGTCTATGAATTTACATTTATATCCTCTTTTGCTTTTCACTCTTCAATCTTCATTATCATCAATAATTCCAGTTCCTTAGAGACTCTATCCCCAAACTTATTAAAATTCTCGTTTTACTTTATTACTCAACCAACATCTCCTTACTGAGCAATAAAGGTAATTTTCTTTTTTTCCCAATTTCAGATTGGAATAAGGACTGGGCTCCTGGTCCATATCCAAAAACCCAAGAAGAAAGGGAAGCAGCTGCTAAAAAATATGGCCTTAGAATAGAAGATTATGAACCCTATCCAGATGATGGCACTGGATTGGGTGATTATCCTAAACTGCCTGATATCTCTATGGAAGGCAAAGATGCCTATGAAAACTGGGATATTCCTGCCTTGAAAAGAAATTTTGGTGAACCTGTAAGCATCCTTTCTCTACATTTTCCTGATTTGTTGATATCCATTTTTGATATAAAATTATTTTACTTTTCTTTAGATAAAATTATTTTTATACTTTTATCTGTAATATATTGTTCTCGAATTATGATTCTGATTTTTTTTCAAATTTTAAAGAATTTAGAATTACAAAAAACATTTTGCATAGGATTTCTGATAACCTGATATAAGACTTTCTGACATTGTACCAAACAAATGTGACGGTATGCAAAAAAGAAAATGTTCTTCACCAAAACCACTTTTGGGTCTGACCGAAAATCTTTCTTGTTTTTTTTTTTTTTTTTTTTTTTTTGCCTTCCAAGGTCTGTTACCACCAGAAAAGAAGGAATATATTAAAAGGTTTCAAAATCAGGCAGCCTGTATCTGCAAGGTCTAACATTGTCACACAATCAGATGATGTTGCTTTGGACTCCCAAATCTTGATTGACATCAGGGTCATCATTTGATAAAAGATTTGAAGACACTGCTGCTGTTTTTGCAATAGTAGTTATATGGATTTATTATGCAAATGGAAAATGAATAAAATTTGAATGATTTTAGTTTTAAAAATATTATCATCTCTCTGAAAGCTGACCTTTACTAATGGTGCACACCTGTAATCTGATTATTAGACTACATGAATTCATCATGCCTCACCTTTTAAATTAATTTCTGAAAAGTTCTATTCAAGATCTGACCAAACATCAAAATGTGGGGAAGAGCTTCTTGGTCAGGTTAGAAAATTTCTAGCACACCTTTACACTAAATATGTGTTAAAACATTAAAGATATTTGAATTTCCATGAAATGATTTTTCTTTTTTTATTCAATAAAAGAAATTGAATGAAACTTAATTCACTGCGTAACACCAAGCATGCCTTGTGTTACCATAACTATAGAATTTCTCATTACTCAGTCAGAAGTGAGCTGGGGTTAGTCATAAATATCTAACAATGCATAAGTACACAGACAGATGGGAGCAAACAGTCATACAGGGCAGGGGTTGAGTATTAAAATGTTCATATCCCTTTTTTAAGAATTTCATGGTTGGGCTGAGAATTCTTCATCACCTCATTGTATATATGATAATATATTGCTTCAATAAACTATTCAAACTTTTTTTTTTTTTTTTGTTGGCTTCAATTTTGATAGTTATTTTGTGTATTATGGTATTCTTGAAGAGTTATCTTTCCTTCCTTCCACTGAAAGATAGTTTTGTTCGTTTTTTATTCCTAGGTTCATGCTGAGGCCAACTGGCTACGAGAAGATCGAATGAGCCCAGATGTAGTTGCAACAATGCGTATTCCTATGTAAGTTGATTTATTTTGTTGCTTCCTATCATCAAAATTAACTGTAAATGCTAATCACTTAAAAATGATCTATATGCAGGTTTAGTATGCTTTCTAAATTTTAAAGTAGCACTCGCTGTTCAGTCAATGAATGTTAGTTGTTTCCTCATAAAGAAATGGCTAGCATTACCATTGTCTTTGAAAATATTTTTTTTTCACATGTACCAAATGCTGAAATTGCTTTGAAAGAGAATATCCTTCATTTGGCGGAACAATTGTATGTCTTAACTTTCCATTTGTAAATATTTTTCTATGATTGTTTTATATTATTTGATAGCCAAGGAAAAAACTATAATTAGTAACCATTTTGTTTTTGCTAAATTAACTTTATTTTAGAAAATTATTGTGTATATTACTGTATATACAATAATTTTCATGGGCAATTTTTGATTGATTTGTTTTTTGTGGGTTATTTAAAACCAAAACATTTCAGATTGTAATATGTTCCTAAGCTATCCCTGCTATCTAAGTACTGAATAGGATTGATGTTGCTTAACTTCCTTAATCAAAAAAGAATTTGTGTTTTCAGCTTGATTCCACGGTAGTCTTTCATGGGAGAAATTATATATAAACGCTATATATCAGACTAATGACTTGTAGTTGTATGACAAAATGAAAAAAAAACGTTTCCTCAAAAAAAAAAAAAAAAAAAGGTGGAATTTATTATATATATATATTATATATATATATATATATATATATATATATATATATAAAGGGAAGATTTGAAAATATAAACAAAAAAATCAGTTACAATTATACATCAACAGGAAACGCCAAAGATGTACAGATGCTAAACTTTTAGATTTCTGGTATCCAATGTATCTTGATGTACAGCTTAGCCAACTTCATTCAGGTTCACAATGCTTTTGTTTTTATTACTGTTTTTAAATATCTCACTTTGTAATGGCAGTAAATTTAAGACCCCACCCCCTACACATAAAGTCCTTTTTGAAGGATGAAATGAATTCTTCCATTCAAATATCCAATAATTTTCATCCATATTCACACATATTTATATACAAAAGATTTTTATGCATAGTAATACTGTAAAGTTCTTTATCTAAGAAAAAGTAAAAAAAAAATGTCTTTATCAAATTTCAGGAAGTGAATTGAGTAAAGTACTTTTCAGTACTGCATCATATTAAAAGAGTTTTACAAAAATTATGATTTAAGAATAATAGCTTATTTTATATGGTTGGTAGTTCAAATGACAGGCCAGCTTTGCTAACACCCTGATTTCAACAATGAAATCTAGTTATGCAAAGACTTCTTAAAATTAGTTTTATATGATTTAATTACAAGTGCAAAATACTAGAAATGGAAGTTATTATTTGAATAGATGTGGAAAATATCTGTGAGAGTAATATAATGATTTACTAAGCTTAGCTCCATTTTCAATCAAGGCTCAAGTCTGAAGAATTTCGTGGGGGATTGAATTTAGTACTTAGTGATTATCTACTTAATCAGCTTGCGATTACACTGACAATGGGACACCTCAGTAAGAGACAATAGAAATGTTGAATGTGACATCTTATATACAAGGGAGATAATAATTCTGACTGCTTATTCAGTTAACTTTTTTTTAACTGTTTTTGTTTCATAATTAATATTTATTTTAGATGGCAACAATTCTTAATGTTTATGGGAATCATGGGAGGCACAGCCCTTTTAGCATATCTTGTATCACCAATTAAACTTCACATGGCAGTGGTAAGTAAATTTTTCACTCTCAAATTTTTCCTATTGACACAAGATGATTTTAAAACAATACATGAAGCAATTCATAAGACATCTTCAGTTATTATTAATCAACTTTGTTTCTGTTTTTTTTTTTTTTTTTGTATCACCTGCATAAGAGAATTTATTGACTTTGCAATGGGGGCCTGTAATGCATACTAAGAATATATTTGTTGCCAGTCTTCTCCAATTGGAGCATAACAAAACAGTTAATTTATAGAAAAAAAATTGTATGTTTCACTTTTTTTCTTTGCATGAAACTTCATATTTATATAGGTAATTCCATGAAATCGCTAAAAAAAATAGCATAGCATGATGAAAAAGACGCCAAACTTGACGAAAACAAAATTTTATTGTCTAAATGTTAATGTTATTATAAAGAGGAAATAGTTTTTTTTTTTTTTTTTTTTTTTTAATTATTTTTTAAAATTTTTCTTTCTTTTTAGAACATTCTAAATTTTGATTAAAAAAAAAAAACCTTGTTTCTCTTTGTATCACCGGAACTAGTAAAATAACATAGACAATTTTTAGCACATTTTTTTTGTATTACACACATTAATTTGGAAAATCTTGAAAAAATAAAAATAATTGTCGGATCAGAAACTATTCACAGATGATCAAAATTATTATAAATTAAATAAGGTGTTTTTTTATTAAAGTCAAGGCAGAAATTTTTTTTTTTTTTTTTTTTTTTTTATATAATTATTAACACCCCCCCCCAACTAATTTTATAAAAATGCTAGAAATTAATTGGACCCAAATACCTGAAAATCAGCTCTGAATTGTAACATACAAAACTCAATAAATCAAATATATTATTTAATTTCAAATGCTTTTATTTGCTTTTAGTTGTTTTTATGAACATGGACAATATTTTCTGAAAGCAAAAAATTTTTTCGATGAAAAATGAATTTTTAATACAATTATTTGTTATTTCTTTAATTATAATAGATTTTACATTTAAGTTGTTAAAATATTATAAAATTAGTGAAAAGCCACATTACGTTTTCTAAGTGTCCTTATGAGATAGATCTTTTTTTAGCATGTTGTAAATTGTATCATTTTGACTAATCAGAAGATCCGCAGTAATTAAGAAATGTAATTTTGTGTTCATAAAAATCGTTAAAATGCTGTAATTAAAAAGTACAGAAGGTCACAAGCAATAAAATGTCACGTGGCTTCAGTGTAAGCATTCTCTGCTGAATGTCGATTACATTATTGCAAATTCTTCATGTGAAACACATGCTGAGCATTTTGAATTAGCGTTTTTTACTCATTAAAAAATTTGAACATCATCCTAAGCCATTTTCACCCTCAACATACTACATTCTTAAAAGTACCATTTATTTCATTTACATATTTCATTGCAATTTCAATTTTTTGAAGTTGTTTTACAGTTTTCAGTGAGTTGTCTTTATTTCAATTTTATGTGAATTTCTTATTTCAAACGAACTGTTTTCAGTTCTATCCTTAAGTGTTGTTATCACCCTGCTCAAAAGGTGTTAAGAAACAAAAATACATCAAGCCATTGTTCAAACACAGATTTAAAAAAAAAAAAAAATGGGACTTTTTTTACAAGGTGATGACAGCTTGGTATTGTCGGCTGGCTGGCTGGCTGGCCTTTGACCCAGCAATGTCAAAGTCAATTTTGGCTTAATTTCAACACTGTTTTCCTTATCGCTGATTTTAAAAAAAAAAAAAAAAAAAAACATTTCTAAAAAAATCCTGGTTTCCAGTGTTCAGGAATAGCAATTTTAACTATTTTTTTCATATTTTATCCCCAGAAAAAATTTTTGTAACCATTTACACCAACCAATTTCACTTAGAAATGAAAGAGCATTCTTTGCTTTCAGGAAATACCTGGTTTCATGGGGTGCAGATCAAAAGTTTCCTTGATATTTTGTTTAGATGATGACAAAAGTCATTTTTCAATTATATTTTTTTTTTTTTTTTTTTTTTCAGTTCAAATTGGCTGTAGTGTAACAAAATAACTTTTTGATGTTTGTGATGATTTTTACTTGGGATAGAAATGTTTTATCATAGCAGATCTGTATTGCCCTCAAAAAGCTGTGCAGCACTTGTATTTTAATTTAATTATAGTATTTATAATTTCTACAGATAGTATCAACAAACTTATGGTGTAAGCTACAGTAGTAATAAAAAAAAACAAAAGAAATTGGAATGCAGAAAGTTTTTTTTTTTTTTTTTTTTTTTTTTTTTTTTTTTTTTTTTTAATAATTACGAGGTACTACATAAGCTGGTTCATGTAAAAAACAAAAAAAACAAAAAAACATTAAGTCAATTATGTCTTTCCGTATGATAACTCAAATCTCATGTTAGCTGTCGATATGTGATGACAGTCATTCATCACTTGTCAATAGCCAACAATGTTAAGATTGTCTCCTTTTTATTTCAAACAACTTTTTCTTCAAAGAAAGTGAACAAAAGTTTTTTTTCAAAATATATTAAATAATCTTTAAATTTGCTAATTTTCGTCAAATAAATTTTAAAAAATGTATAATTGATTTTTGGATTAATTTTAAACTAGGATTTTAACTTAGTTTACAAAATTTTTTAAAAAATGGCTGATATCGAGGGGGGGTTCCTTTTTTTTTTTTTTTTTTTTTTTTAGTAATTTCACTGACAAAAAAACAAGATTTGTAACATTTTGGATGAGCTAAGAATGAGTAAAAAAATTTTTAAAATAATCAAAAAATACTTTGGTATTCTTAATGATATATATACTTTAGTAGACAACATTTTTTTTCATCAAATTTAAGGCCGTTCTTGTCATGCTATGCTCTTTTTATTCATTTTCATGGAGTTACCTATATTTATAATATTAAAAATGAAAAATATTTTTCACTCACATGAAACATTAATGCAATGATTTTTAATACTTGCTGCTTTGCTAATCAAAATTAGCTGACTGTTTAACTAGAAGCATTTTATATTCATAAAAAAAAGTTGTTTTGGATAAGATTTAACAGAGTTAATTCTGTTACTTTGGTCTCAAAAACAAAATTATCCTTTTCTATATACATACATATATATATATATATATATATATATATATATATATATATATATATATATATGACTTTCTAGCATTCTTAAGAGGTGGGATTCATTAAAAGACATTTTGCTTGTTAATCTATTTAAAAAAAAAAAAAAAGTTCAATCAATTTCTACAAACTTAGATCTTAAAAGTTTATAGAGTGGAGAAATTACAGCCTCAACATGACCTTCATCAGCTCATTAAGTCCTTAGACATCTTGGCCCAATTACTTCTTGATGGCAGCTTTGATGGTATTGATGTTGAGGATAGGATATCTTGTTAGTGGTCTGCTCCAAAATGCCCCACACAAAGCAGTCTAGCAGGTTTGGGTCCAGGCTAGAGGAAGGCCTAAAATATGCTAGTTAGAAATTGGTACTTAAATTTGCAGAACTTCTGTATCTTCTTGGATGCAAGTGCCATCTTGGGTGAGATCCGGCAAAACATGGTACGTTAGATCCTTCTAGGCATCAACATCCTTTTTTAAGTTTGTTGAATGTTGGCAACTTTTTTATCCTACTAGAGTCCATAACACCCAAAACTATAATCTGAGTGGTATGTCTTGAAGATAGTGTACCAGTTGTTTCATTGGTTTTAAACCCTGTCCACTGTAAATTTTCTCATCATAGAAGATTTTAACAGTGAACCTATTATTCTTGTGGTACCAGAATATTTTGTTGCACTTTCTCAGCTTCCTGTCTTTCTAGGAATTGATTAGGAAATATTTTCCTATTTTAGTGCATCACCATATACAGTCATTATTGCAGTTCTCTTTTAAATACACGTGAATGTTGTTGATTCCTTTGCACTTTTCATCTTGATGGCATTCATGAAGACCCAATTCCACTTGTTGCTGCCCAACTTTCTCTGGATGCCATTGCCCATGTGGATGGTTGATATTGTAGACCGTGTGCAAGAACAAATGGACTCTGTTAGGAATGCTTTCAGGATTGATTTTATATATGAACCAAGTCTGAAACTCTTTGTCCTTCTGTGAAGCCATTTTCCACATTAATGTTTGTTAATAGCTGACACTATATTCTTTTCAGTTTGAATTTCTGGGATGAGAAGTTATCATTAATTACGTTCAAACTAATATCCTCATCTTTATTGTTGTTATCACATTTTGATTTCTTGATATATTTTTTTTTTTTTTTTTTTTTTCAATCTGAATAACCTTCATGGCATTTCGATCTGAACCCTTTGATCTATTTGATCTACAGGTGGGTAGATTGTCCATTTCTTTTTAATACTGCTCTCAATGAGTCTATACTACCTAATGCAGGGATTGAACTCACAATTTGGTGGCATAGTAATTGTAAGTTCAATTACTATGCCACCAAATTCATAAAACAACATCTGTTGTACAGACTTACACTCAATGGAAACAGTGTGAGCAATAAGTGATTGGTACTAAAAAGAACAAGACTAGTTATGCCTAGAGATGGACAGGGAATGAGAAGTCTGTCCTTGTGAATTAAATAAAGGACTCTGTTCAAAATTCCCTGAATGAGACCAGTGGACGCTATGACCAAAATGTGATTAAAAACAACAAAGATGTGGACACTAGTCGAAATGTAAATACTCTTTGTTCATCATTTGCTGTCAAAGTTGGTGGGGAAATCTTCAAGTTCCTCACTCTGTACATCAAATTTTGTTTGTGGTTTTCACTCCCTCCCCTCATTACACACTCTCACCTATTTTTATCATTTATCTACTCAAAATGGAAAGCAAAAAATGTCATCTTATGGAGGATCTCACAAAAATGTTACCTTATTTACTAATAATTGCTTTCTTCTTTTCATGTCAACTGACCAAGTAATATTTACATTGTATATGAAGATGATTTTTTTCATTCAATTATGAACCACTTAGCCAGGCCTATTTTCTACTGATAAAAAGAACCCTCTCCCACCAAATTGACTCACTTTTCCTAATTCAGTCACAACTTCTAATGATTGAGGAAAAAAAATGTCACAATTGAAAGAAACTCTGGTTAAATTTTGTCACCAGAAATTCATTGGCTCTTAAACTAACTCTCTCTCCACCCACCCCTGACATTTTTAGCCAAGATTAAACAAATTTATTAATAAACAAAAATGTCTTTTTGGCCTCTAGAAATTAAGAGAATGTAAGTAATATTCAGAATATTTTTTTCTTCTTCATATTTGTGATTTTTGTATTTTTCTCAAATTTGCAGATTGTTTTTCCCCCCACCTAATTAAACATTGATTTGATTAAGACATTGCATAACTGAAATTTTTCAAGTCATGATAATGTCTCTATAACCCTTCAGTTGCATCTGAATAAAAGGCAGTCTGCCAATTTGCTTGCTTTTTTTTTTTTTTTTTTTAAATCATTAAAAATATAAAAAGCAATATTTTATCAGCTTAATTACTTATGTATTTAATCACTTAAAGGCATAGAATGAATCTTTTTATGATAAAACTGGAATATTCTATTGCTAAAAAGTTTATCAAAAGAATGTTATAGAATAGATTTTTATCATATTAGAATTTAATGAAATTAATCATTCTTATTTTGTCTTTAAATTTCAGATGCCAAAGCAATATCCATTTAATGAGTTATGTGTTGAAAAAGGTTTGAAAGATGAAGGCAAACCCATTATCCACTACACATTTGAACCGGCAGATTGAAGATTGTTTATTTTTTCAGTGTACAGTCTTGTCATATTTTTGTTAGAACATCTACCAGAAATCAATGACAATTTAGATATTAAAACAATCTGATTATTAAAAAGGTAATTTTGGCTTTGTAATGGATTTTTTTTTTTTTTTTTTTTAATGGAAAGATTTTTTTTTTATAAATTCTTTTCAAAAGTTAACACTCACTCTAAGTTTAGTTTTCACTCATTTTAAATGAGTGAAAGTGACATAAAATTGCTTAGTTCTATACCTTTACTGCTTTCATTTGAACCCCCACAACAACAAAAAAATGCTCCCAGAGGACAGAATGTATGTTGTCTTTGGAAAACAGTTTCTTTAAAAATAATAAAAAAAAAATTGCAAAACCAATTTTGTTCCCCACTGATGCTAATATTTTTAATGTGTTTTGAATTTGGTCTTTTCATTCACTAAGAATAATCCAGATCCTCATTCAAAAGTTCTATTAGAAATTTGTGATTCTGAAAGATGATGAAAGAATCAATCCTTAGTCATGTGTAATGTTTCAAGACTACAAAGCAGAATTTTCAAAGTTTTAAACTTTCCCATTATTAAACTAAAATTCTGATCTGTTTATAACTGGCCTGCAACCCCCCAGCACTTGGGCCATATCCAGCCTGCAAAAAATGTGTTTACTTAATTTGTCAAAGCATTGCCATAAAGGAAGTTTCAAATATTAAACAGCACTATGAAACTCATCATAATAATTACAATTTCACAGGAAAGGTATGAGAAGACAGTTGCATGGCTGAGAGAAGATTTAATAAAGCAGTCATCGTTTTTTTTGCTAGAAAGGTTAAAGAAAAGACAAATACTTGTACCAACTACAAGGTCTCAAAACTAATTGCAGAAAGTATGAAACCTTTTAGTGATGGAGAGTTCTTCAAAGAATGCCTGTTGAAGGTGGTGCATGATTTTCTGCAATCATCTTATCAGCAAGAACAGTAACAAAGTGATTTTGAAGAACTGGCAGTAAATGTCAGAAGTTATTTGGAAGACATTTTTTAAAATCTAGAGTATTATTCCATTGCTATTGATGAAACCACAAATATGACAGATACTTGTCAACTTGCTACGTTTTGTGACACCAACATGTGATATTGTGGAAGAATTTGTACAATTCCTAAGAAGGACACTAGCACTGGAGCAGATATTTTTTAAAGTGTGATTAAATGGATAACCAAAACGAATCTTGATTCATCAAAACTTATTGGTGTAATCACTACAGATCACCAGTGATGATCTGAAGATCACCAGTGATGATCTGAGAGAGAAAAAGGGGTTTGTTGCATTGCTCCAAGAATGCAATTATATTGATCACAAACTAATCAAATTCATTGCATTATCCATTAGGATGCATCATGTGCAGTCATTAAATTTTAAGGATATCATGACTGGTTGTGAAAACAGTCAATTTTATACTGTCTAGTGCAGGGTTTTCCAACTGGGTCATGAGATAAAAATGGGTTGTAACAAAAAAAACATGACCATCATCAGGAGAAAAAAATTTTCTGCTTGCTAGTAACAGTGAACTACAGAAATGAATGTTTTGATGGAGAAAATGAAATTTTGCCTGTAGTTTTCATTTATTTTTTTAACATGAATTTTGACTAGTCCTTGTGTTAGTCAGTCTCTTTTAAGTTATTATTTAAGATAAGAGCTGGATGGATTCATGCTACTCTGAATTCCCTTGGTTGTTTTGACAGTTTTATTGGTTCTTTGAAAGGGGATGTGTTTCTGTTAAGTGTGTGTTATTTGGTTCTTAGAGAGTGAGTATGATGTGTGTATATTATTATAGGTGTGTGTTATCATTTGTCTCATCAGTGAGTGAGTATGATGTGTGGATATTCGTGTGGGTGTGTGTATAAGTGTGAGGCCTCAACACCTGTTTGTCTTGTGTGGGTGAGAAATGTGGGTAGGTCCTGATTTGTGAGGTTATATATTAATACTATCTATATTGTTAAATTATTGATTAAGCCTGTCTGGATAGAGCGTTTTTAGACGCCGAATCCACTTATTTTCATGGCACTCCAAAAATCTTTATCTGCTCTGAACGTTTCTATTCTCTCAATTATAGTGAATTTGGCATGGATTTTAAAATCTTATTTTTGTAGGCGGAAATGTTCTACAGGTTGCGGGCTGAGTGATGTCAGTTCTCTCTCACAAATTGACCTCATGCCAAAACTTAGCTACCTGACAATTCAATCACCTTAACAGGTTTCACAGCTGTTAAGATTGTTGAATAATTCAGTTGCATCTGAAGTTGGTGCTAAAAGTGAATTTCTTGACTCAATGTCGAAGTTGAATACCACCAATACATTCTTTCTTTGATAGTAAGATGTTGTGTTCATTTGAAGTCTTGGAATTTTCAATGAGTTGGCTTTGGCAAAATTTAAAAACTGGCAATAATCAGATTGTTTTTGAATGCGTACCTGAAATACTTGTGCTATTCAAAGATTTCAGAAATAACCCTAATGATGGATTATTATATCATTCAAAAAAGAGCAATGAAAAAACAGAAGGGCCATCAACATTAACAGATACATCTGAAAATGCAACTTCTATGAATGTTGTTAAAGATGATATCCTTAGCAAGCAAATGTTGACTTCTTTTGAGAACTGTAATAAGAAATAATAACATAAATTGTTGATGCTAAATAAATAAACCTAGTGAACAGAATTTGTCTTTGATTTATTACACATAGGTCTAATGGGTCACAATGCAAAATGTGGTTCTTGCTGTGGGTCGCAGTAGAAAGCTTAAAAAAAAATGCTGGTTTAGAGGACTAAATCATCAGTTTCAAGAATTTCTAAAACAAAGAGTATGTCAACCTTACATATTTTTCAAATGCTTGATGGCTTAGCTGTGGAAAAATTCTGGAACAAGTATATACGAATGTTTTTGGAGAACAAAGACCAAGATAATGAATTGCCAACTTAACATTTTTAGCAAACATCACAACCCACATGAACACTTTGACTCTTGAGTTTCAAAATGAAGAACAAGCTTGTATCTATGATGTTTGGTCAAATTCCTGCTTTTGAAAGAAAACCTTTGGGAATCACAACTTCAGAAAGGAAACTACTCTCATTTCCCAAATCTTCAAAATCACGATATAATATTAGACATCTTTTGTGAGCTCTATTCAGGATTTGAGTTTTCCTCCCATTTTGAATATTTGCAGCAATACAGACATCAGTTTAAATTATTTGGTACTCCTTACAAAACATGTGGAGCAAGTGGCAGGAAAATATCAGTTGGAGTTAATCAACTTACAATATGATTTTTTTTTTTTTTTTTTTTTTAAATTAATATTTAATTTGGAATCCACTACTGATTTCTACAAGAAATGTTTTGCCAAGTGGAAAATATAAAAGCAAATTGAATAATGCAAAAATGATAGTTATTATTATTTCTAAGTACATATACTTGTGAACAACCTTTTTTTTCCAAAAATGAAATCTACTAAGTTGTTTAAGAAGGTTGTGTGATGACCACCTGGATGATGTTTTGCACCTGTCATCTACAAATATTTCACCTGATGTGGAGAAGTTATCAAACAATAAGCAGAAACAAAGTATCTCATTAAATAATTTGCCATTTTTAACTGAATTTCATTTGTGGTAAGGAATTTGGATTTTTAGTTGTTATCCTGTTATTCCTGCAGTAAAATAAGGAACCTTGTTTAAATAATAACATTGTGTTGTTTTTTTTGTTTTTTTTCCCTTTAAACCTCTAGACTAAGGCAGCCTTCTGGACCGTTTACTACAGTATGACCCTCCCCCCAGGCACTCCATTGCTGTCTGGTCTGCTCTCTCCAAAAAGGTTGCCAACTAATGGTTTACGAAATAACCCAAGATGTTATGTCAAAAGAAATTCTCAACTGTTATTAAACTTTTAATATAACTTATTGGTATTGCAATATCTCAAGATTGCTTTAATTTTGATTCAGATTAATAACGCTATTGTAGATTTTACAAATATTGTAAATGACTCATATCCAGTTATCAGTTCAAACTTAGCTGTTAAGAAAACTAAATCATTTTTATAGCATTTGCCTTGACTGTTTAAGTTGTTAAAAATTAGAAATCTTTAGTATAAACCTAATCATCATCCACAATGTTTGTTTTTTTTTTTTTTTTGTAGATCAGATCTGGAACATTAGTAAGATAGTGAACATTTGTAAGGCACATTGATGCTTTAGATTTTACAAGAGATTAAAAAATTTTGGTTGGTATATAAATGTTAACTTGAAGGTCAGTCTACACTAAGCATTATTAATTCTTTGATATTTCCTTCATCACAATTATTTTATATATATATATATATATATATATATACGCACACATTATGAAATGGACAAAGTCCAACAATTATTTAAGATTTTTTTTATGTTTATATGTTCTTTTTATAGATACAAATATTTAAGTAAATGCTGTTTATAATAAACAGTAATAACAACATTCAGGCCGGTAAATGTCATTAATACTGTTTATAATAAACAGCATTTGCTTAAATATTTGTATCTATAAAAAGAATGTATAAACATAAAAAAGTCATATATATATATATATATATAATTATCAAAACTCCCAGATTATCAATATGTTAGTAAAGAGCAGGAATCGAATATTAAGACCCTTTAGTGAGACTTGAATCATCTGCCTTTCTGTGTCTGAAAAAGCCAATTGGTGGAAGTTCTTCAAATCTAACCAATAGTTATATTCTCTACTTCTAAAACTAACAATTCATAAGTTGTGATAAGGGGCAACAAAAATTAAGATCAAAGAATTGACAACGCTTCAGCTAAGTTCAATCTTATTACACACCAAACAGCTTTGTACAAACATGATTAGCATTTAAGATTTCAGGCTCCAACAAAAATAAGTAGATCAATGAACATTTTTGCTTGTAAAGAAATTTCTTGGATCTGAATGAATGATGGTTTAAAAATAGATAAAAATCTGTGAAA